GCTTCATTCATTCATCTGTGTGTGTTGGTTCTGTCCACCAGATGGAGGAGGTCTTCAAGCACCAAAGCAGGAAATTCATCCATGCCATCGAGAAGTCAGGTGGGCACGCCGTCTGTCGGTGCGCCTGCAGGCACTGCATGTCGATGTATTTCTGTGTGTGTGTGTGTGTGTGTGTGGTCATCCACACACAGGTGCCCTGCTGCCTCCCGAGGTTGTCTCCACAGCGGCTGTGGAGGCCGTCAAGAACAAATCGCTGGTGAGTCGGGCCCGAACCAGTGTGTGTCGCTTTATTTCCTTGCCCTTATGTGACTGTCAGCCGAGTGGTCTGGTGATACGAGTGACACCCCAGCTGGGCATCGACTTTGCCCGGCTGCCTGGGAGCCCCTTTGCACAGCCGGTGGTGCCGGCGTCACTCAAGGCCTACAGCGAGAGGCTGGTGGCGAAGATCAAGGAGAGGGACCAGAAGATCGCCGCCAAGCTGTGAGGGCGTCTGTGTGGCTGCCGTCTGCACAATGATTGGACGACGCTAGAGTCAGACGCTATTTTTGTGAGAAGGACTTGAGTTTGTCGTGTGTGGACTCAATAGCTTTGAGTCGGCATTGCGGTTGACATCCAAGTATCTGTGTGTCTTTTGTCTCAGCGCTCCTTGATGGACACCACACACACACACACACACACAGAGAGAGAGGCACATGCGCAGTGCACGCCCCCTCCCTCCCTCCCTCTCTGCACACACAGCCCACCCCTGCGCACATCCGTGTGTGGGAAGGTGCCTGCCTGTCTGCTGCGCACTCCTGCACACGCGCATTCACGAAATTCGCAAACCTTAGATGAGCGCATCAGCCGCCGCCCCTGTGGCCCCCTTGCAATGGAGAAAGCCCTCAAAATCAGAGAGTATAGGGTTTAGGGTTTAGGGTTGCGAGCTTAGACGCGCTGGGGAAGGGACCGTCTTCAAATCAAATCGCACAGATCTCCGCAGAGAGGCTCACAGGAAGGCCATTCACGCAGTCAGGAGCAGCCAGAATATCAAACAAGCTGACATTTCTCTCTGTGTCCGTGTCTGTCTGTGTGTGCAGGCCGAGATGGCGTGCTGTGCCAAGACCCCGAGGCTCGTTTGAATGTCAGAGGATTGCTCTCGATGAAGGCTTTGCACTGTGCCGGTTGATGCACAGCGGAACTTCTCTCTGACCACCGTCCCTCTCCCAATTTTGTCCATCTCTGCAGGCCCGTGGTTCGCTCTGTGGGTATTGCCCGGCCCATTCAACACACGCATCAGATGCACCCTTGAGTTGGCAACACAGGTGCCGAGAGAGAGGGGCAGGTCAGCAAAACTGACGACGCTACGCAACCGAACAAAAATGTCACCATTTTGGCATTTTTGACCGTAGGATGACCCTTGACGGCCACCTGCAGGCCGACAGACGACTGATAGACAAGAACCAAGACCACTCCTGGCCTGGTGCGGAAACTGTCAAAACAACCCTTTTATAACCGACTTCTTTTCTCTGACCTACTTGGCCCAGTGGGT